ATAATGCGAATAGAGGCGAGTTTCTCGAGGAAAGTTCTTCACGAAGATTAGCCTCCCAAATAAAAAGGGCTGAAGCTTCATTCTATTAAAAGGCCACAACAGATCTAGGAAGTTTTTATTTTGAAATTTGCCGCGAAAACTTGCTTCGATTGTAACAGTTATTAACACAGTTCTTAGAATTTAAGCCTAATTTTTTATTAAAATTTTTAGGACGTCAAATTACATACCTTATTTTATTTGTATTAGTATGTATTTAAGAAATAAAATTTTCACTTATTTTTCAATACCTATTACGAAATCATTTTAATTTTTAGCCCTAAGAGGCGTTAGCCCAGAAGGGCTATTAGTCTCGGAAACGGCATTGTACGTCGAATCGCTATAAACGGCTGTTTCACTTCTTAAATTGTTGCCACAAAATATTATCACCCTGTATTATATTTAAATAAATTAAATAATGAAGAATTTACATGAATGAATGGATGTAAGTATGTATGTTTCTCGCATTGAGAAAAAATCTGATGTATACACCTCACGACCTCCTTGTACAGAATATTAAATTATACGAATTTTTCCCCTGCCTTTCATTTAAACTTATTTCCTCGAATTTCATTAACGATATATTTCTCATTCAATTAATTCAGTTCTCACTTCGCGACAAGGCAAAAATACATAAAAAGTCAAAATATCTATACTAAAAATTGAAAGATGTAGAAAAACATAAAACACCAAATACAGTTAAAACGATTAAAAATTTCTTTTTACAATTAAAATTACAGTTTCTACGCAAAAACAAGCAATTCGGCCAACGGGCAAGAAGGCAGATTTTTCGGTTCACAAAACTGAAAGTTTACTTTTGGCCTACTATTGGTGGACGCTGAGTCAATAAATGGGATAATTTAATAACTTAAATGATAATTCCAGAGTGGATTATGCATATTTTAAAATTCGCAATAATAAAAGAAGACGTTACTTTTTTGTTGCGAAGCTTAGTTTCTCTACCTTGGCAACAAATCTAATATTCTGCCAAGTTTCAAATGTAAACAAATATGCCTACTATGGAAAAAAAATTAGGCTTAACCATTCTTAAAGAACTTTTATGCAGGTTAACTAAAGGCGTAAGAACCTTAACCGGAAGATAAGATGAACATAATTCAATCATTTTTAAAGCAGAAAATGCAGAATTTACAAACATATAAGAATAAAGAAACTGAACACACTAAACCGAGTAACAGGCAGAATAAAAGACTCTTTGTCCCCGAACAAATTAAAGTGAACCTAGTATATATACATATATTTATATACTTTTGATTTATATTGCTTTTGATGCGGCCGATTGCAACCAAAAATCGCTATAAATAAAGGTGACACACAAAACGCTAAGAAAACGCCCTTTTGGGCATCATTTAAAATCTAAAGGCCCTCATATTTTTTTTTTTTTTTTTTTTTTTTTTTTTTTTTTTTTTTTTAATTTGACAGTGCTTGGAGAGAAATCTGATGTGAGAACTTTGAATTTAAGAAGAGTCTTCCTTGCTTACTTAAATAGTTAAAAAGGGAGCTGCAAATCTGCAAGTTTATAGCTGTTCTGCATACAAAATTTCAACGTTATGAGGCTATTCGTGTTTGAGTTATGCGAGATGCATGCATACATACATACATACGTACGTACGTACATTCAGATGCTACGAAAAAAAATCTCTTCTGAATCCATTTAAATCAGTTTTCTAATTTGTTTGGGGGGTAAGAGTCCATTATTCTGTTCTTACATACAGATGTCACGGAGAAACATCGTTAAATTGCATTCGATAGCGATCAAAATGGATATTTTCATTGAAATATGATATCCGAAATTCTTGGCGATTACAATACTTGCTTTTTACTTCGTACAAGGAAGTAAAAACGATACCTAGAGTAATCAAATTTTGAATATAACGTAGTTCTCCATCCGAACATGGGCTCCTGGAAGCCCGAATTTTGAATTTGTTTATTATCTATTTCATATTTTTTTTTAACTTTAATGGATTTTTGATTAAGAAACTCAATGATTGCAAGGCGAACAGTGGCAGCACATTGATTGTGTAAAATAATCTCCAGCGCGCGATGCTATCAGAAATTCTAAAGATATGCTTTTTACTTCCTTGTAGGACGTAAAGGAAGTATTGTAATCACGAAAAATTCCGGGTATAATACTTCAACGAAAATAGCCATTTTGATCGCTATCGAATGCAATTTAACGATGTTTTCGCGTGACATCTGTACGTAAGGGCAGAATAAAAGACTCTTTGTCCCCGAACAAATTAAAGTGAACCTAGTGCTAGAGTATCGGTATGGTAAATTAATATAATGAATTTTAAAAAGTGCATTTATCCTGTTGTGGTTTATGCGCGATCCACGAAGTAGATTTAATTAAATTATATAAGTTTAAATGAAATGCAGAAAAAAATGAGTATAATTTAATATTCTGTAAAGGAAGTCATATGATGTACACATCAGATTTCTTTTATTATTTTTCCAGTTTTTGAGTTTTAAAATCTTACTGGGCGTAAATTCGAGAATGACCATTTTTTTTTTATTACAGCGGTACCTTGGTTTGCGAGTGTAATTCGTTGCGGAAACGTACTTGTAGTTCAGAGCAAATTTTCTCTAATGGAAAGTTAAATAATTCGTATAAAAATGATATTGCAAAAATAAAGTAAAAATACATAGAACAAAAGAACCCGAACTTTGGTTTGGGGGGTTAAGACGGCTAATTAACGGAGTCGCTGCTTTCTGTTTGCTCACTGAAATCCTTTTCTTTTTTATGCGACATAACAAAAAACACTTATACAATCGTAGTTGCTTTTGTCTCTTTTTGACGATTTCGAGGAAATCTGACATTGTATTATCCTTTGAGGAATTCATCGTTGGCATTACTGCAGCCTTATCCGTGTGGAATCGCATCTAACGTGAGGCGTGCCACTCCTCCTTAGAAGAGATATCCTTCCTTTTGTTGTGCGGGGGGGGGGTTCGATGTAGATCATCAGTTCGTTGTTGGCTAGCTGCTTGCCGTATTCTCCATCGCTCTTGGTCTTCTTTCACTTCCAATTCTGTGGTCTCCCAGAAGCACAGTTTTGTCGATAAATGGGAATTTTGTCAGTATTCGGCAGGCAAAGCATGTATGTATAGTGCAAGATAGTGTTTGTTTATCAAATTCCAATTTATTACACAATTTTGCTCGTATTGCAAAACACATAGAAACCAAGTTGTATTTAATCCAAGATTTTATTGTATTTTTCTCGAAAATACTTGCAAACCGAGTTTTTTCGTTTTAAAATACTACTGCAGCTTAAATTCGAAATAATACGGCATAGTGCAATGATGTATACAAATTCTGAAAAATCCTAGCTATGAGTTGGTTATGACTTCGCTTATGTATTCGCTCGTAGCAATTCACATTACCTCATCGCTTTTAGTACTAACGATACCGATATAAATAAAGTACTATAATAAATATTTATTTTTTTCCCGTATGGTTCGGGGATGTCCTATTAGGGCTGTTCATTAAATGTATTTTCTCAAAAATAAAATTTTTTATGCTTTTATTGCTTATTTGTTAGAACATATTAAGCTAAAAATCTCTGATCGAGGTTTTTGAGATATCTATGCAATTTTTTTTTTTTTTTTTTCTCGTATGGATGGTAATGCAGTTTAATATCAATGACGGGGTAAATATTCAAGGAAATGATTGAATTCATTGTTAAAGTGTTTGCTGTTTAGTTTGAAATTATTTCAGATTACTTTAGAAGACATATTTTACATCCAAACTTATTGAGGCCGCCCACAACTCACGGCTAATGTCGTTTAATTTATTACTGAAAAGGCTAATTGAACATACATATGGGTACTTTAACTTGACCCATTTGCAGTTACTGGTTTAGGATTTGTATTCTAGAGCTTCTCAGCTGTAATTAAAATTATTGATAATTATGTGTGGGACCTATTTAGCAGTCGCTCAGACGGTAGAGTGATTAGGGGAGCCTACTGTGGTACCGAAGGGCCGAGGCTCAAATCCTGGCGAAGACATGGGTGTTTGCAAATGTATAGTGTCCATGCGGCTTGGGGGCACTCTAAATATTCGGCGAGCCGAAAGTTCTCTCATGTTTGGTGGAAGACTCCCGTACAAGCATCTAGGGGTGCTCTTTCTCAAAATTGTGTGTGGGGGGGATAGAAGTCCAACCTTTTTTTGGAGTAGGCTCTGAAAGCCATTCTTCCACGTAATATGGACACGACGACAACAGCATACATTTAGCGGTTTTATCAAGTAAAATTCTTTTGTCAGAAATTTATGTCAGATCGTGTACTAATTTATTTAATCCAGAAGTTTATTGAAAGAAAAGAGTGATTTTTATTGTTTCTTCATTTTATATTCTAAAAATAAATGTAAGTTTGCATTTGTAGCTGTCACCTTTTTTTATTTCTATTACTGTCATAATAGAATTTCTATTTATATTTCGCTTAATAAAGCAGCGTTTTTTTCTATTCAAAAGCCACGCAATTGAATTTTTTTTTAATAAACGATCGGGTTTCTGATGCAACTATACCGCCATCTCCACCTCTCCCTCTGATCTGTAATAGCTTCCACCCACCCACCCATATTCTACCCCACCTCCACACACGCATACATACACACGGATCCAGCAAACTCATCGACTGAGATGCACTGCGTTTTGTGACTGCATCCGACTGCTTTAGATGGGTGCTGGCCGCCGCCGTTCTACTTGTGTAGCAGTGGCTTGCTGAGCTTCCTGTTTAGAACATGACGGCTATGCGAGCCAGGATGTGTTGTAGCAGTGGAGCCGCCGGTACGGCGGTTTATCTTCGTTTCCATTATTTTTTATGAACTCAAAAGAAAATAATATAACTTATTAAAACAGCCTTCCTATTTTAAAGAGCAGATGAACATGCAGTGCAGTTGTCATCGTTTATTGGAGATCCTTCATTATTATAATGTTTCCTCGTTTCAGCAACAAGAAAAATGCCTCTACCATTGGGCGGTCCGAGAGCTTTAGACAGCGGGTAAGTTTATTTTAATATCAATATAGTGCTTGCTGAATTTGGTTATAAGATATGTATTATAATGCCATTAAAATAATTAATTTGGGTATACAGTAAAAGCTGATTGAGAAAAATATTTTTCTTGATTAATTATTTAAAACGAAAAGTATAAACTATACATTCTATTTAATGTAGTATTGCATTTTGCTGAAAGCAAGGAAGTTTTAATTATTTACTATTTATAGTTAATTGTGTAATTTTGAAATTATTAATTTTTTTATAGCTGTCATTTGCTTTTTTATGTTCATAGTCTGTATATTCCATATAAAATATGGAATATTTTACTTTCCTGGGAAATAACATTAATAATAACATCATTTATTCATATATTACCCACAATAACATATTTTTTTATTTGTAAAAATATCTTGAAAATCTCTTAAGAGTGTATTATCTGAATTCAGTGTGTGACATACACACACATTATAATATATATATAAACTAGTGTAAGAGTTTCGCATCATCTTTATTTGCAGCATAGTTAAATATACCTTATAAGTATATAATAACTAGCGCATCAGGTGAGATGCATGCCTGCTTTATAATTTTATAGGATATATTTCACATCTGGAAAAAGTTTGACATATAGATATATCTGGCAATGAATGATATAAGTTGAGGATTGTTTGTTAACTAGATGAAAGCAGGCATTAGAAAAGAGTAATTTCAATTTGAAAGTTATTGGATGACTACAGGGCTCTTTGAATTGGGTATTATCAAATCATATTATTGGTGGTTACCATCCACTTGAATATGGTTTTATTAAATGGGGTGCTTTTTAAATAACTGCTGAGATTTTTTTTCCCATGTATTTCCTGTATTTAAAAGCTAAAGGGACTTGGAGAGATCTGTTACAGATAGAAGTGTTTTTAATTAGCTAAGCATTTTCCAAAGAGACCACCAAATTAATGTCTGTGCATTATATTTTAATTGAAGTAAAACTCAGCATAGTATATGGTAAAATAATTAAAACTAAATTTTTATCTTTCATGTTCACTCAGTTTTCAGAATCCTTGAAAGAATCCAGCACAAGCTGGAAAAATTAGTACCAGTCTCTCTCTCTCTCTATATATATATAGTGTGTGGATATGTACGCACATATCTGTTTCTCTCTCTCTTTATATATATATATATATACACACACACACGCTTTAGTATAAAAAGTTGCTGACACTATACCAGAATCTAGCAGTCTTTTCTTTTATCTTGTATGTACATTATATATATATAGAGAGAGTATATGATAAAAACATGAAAAATTAACTATACCATTGGCAGGATTCGAGCATGGAACTGCTATCTTTTGCACCGCGAGCAAATGTATGGGAGACTTATAATTTTTTATAATTTGTAATTAATCAGTAGCATGCCATGGATTTACCCCAAAACAACTAGATATAAAGAAAATTATAATTTTTTTAGAACAACTACCCCACGGTTTAGGAAATTTTTTTGATTCTCATTGGAATTGGTTGTCTCAGAAAAGTGAAGATCAGTACCAATGCTTATTTATATTCCCAGAAATAATTGCCCTTTTAAGAAATTATTTCCTAAGAGAAGTGGAGTTCGTGATAGGGTTTATTGGGTTTTGATTGTGATTACTAATGAATATATTAATGCTCTGATAAATTTGCGAAAATCACCAGGATGAAAAATCAGGGGCATCAAACTGGAATAAATAAATAAATATTTTAATCTCCTGGATATCATGCAAACTAAGTAATTAATTAAATGGTTATTTCAAAAGGAATGCAAGACAGCAAAACAGATTACTGCTTAGTTTGCATATTGTTAATCATTTTGAAACTCCATAGTATTTCACTGTGAAATGACAGATTTAATTTTTCATGGTAATATAAAGGAGAACATGAGGTAGATCTATCTTTTGTGGTTGTTCATTTATCCCAAAGGATACAATAGGTAGATGACTAAAATTATACGATAGTGATAGCTGATCAACACATTATCAAATCTTGCTTGTGCTTGTTTCATAATATTCTCTTGTAGAACTCTATTCTTACTGCTTCTTTCTCCATATTTTAAACTCAGAATTACTGCATGAATGTATTATGGTTTAGATTTCTTCACATATAATAAAAGTAATTTCATGAACACAACTAAAATATGACATTGAAAGTAAATTTTGCTTACAAAAATCATGGAGTCTGTGTGCTAAAATGTCTGAGAACAAATGAAAACTAGCAAGTCTGCCAGGGAAAATATATAATTACTTATAACATTTCTAACTGCAACATACTTTATTAACATTTAGTTTGGAAATATATGAAAAATAAAGGTAGCACAGATATACCAAACTTGTATATAAGTCAAATATGGTTTGAAAACAGTAATAACCAACAATGTAATTCAGTATAGTGAGATTATGTGGTGAGAAAATTTAAAAATCTAGTAGGCATTGAAAACTTTTCTTATGAAATCCTGCTCTTCTAATGTTAATATGTGGTTAATGTGGTGTGTGCAGTCTTTGCCTTTTATTAATACAACCTGTGATAAATAAATACAGTGAATGGTTGATTTCATGATTTTAATGTGGGAAAAGCTGTACATATATACAAGAATACAGTTTGGGTTGCTTCAAAAGGATCACCCCCCATGGTTATGCACCTTTGAGAGTGTATGTAGAGGAGAAGGTAGCTTCTATATGCACTCTCAAAAGGGCATGCGTTAGGTCAGGGCTTCTTAAATCTTTTTTAGTCGTGACCCCTTTTTATCACTGAGATTTTTTTTCATGACCCCCAGTACTCTATAATATTTACAAAACTTTTGTAGGACCTCATAAGCATTGCGCAAATCCGACACATGCTTGAGTGAAACTGTCAATTTTTCACTTTTACTGTAATATACCATTGCATAGTAACAGACGGAAGGACAGCGTCACGTGCAAAGCAAATAAACTGAATTTTTATATTATAAAAAGAATGCGTCAAAACGTTTTGGGAGGGGGGGTTGGTCTGTATTGTTATATCTTTGTCTATTTTCAGATACATTGTGTAATAATATTTGGTAATTGTGAAATTATTATAATAAGTCAAAGAAATATCAAAACTGCTAAAATTTTTGGAGACCCCCTGCTGCAGGTCCCGCAACCCTTTTGGGGGTTGCAACCCACGGTTTAAGAAATTCTGCTATAGGTGAAGGCAGCCTGTGAGATATGGCTGAGTTCAGCTTTCACATTGGACTGGATATTGGTGATATCCAAAAACTTAGCAAAGCATGTTGTTTGTCATTCTCTTGGCATTCTCCCTAGTTTGAAACAGTATTTCATGTTCGTATATTGCTTCCTTTCACCGTAACAGCATTATTGCTTTGCACCTTACTTCACAGCTTACTTATTTGGATAAGAATTTATTGAAATAAGTTTGCCATATAAAGATTTATTAAAATTTTGCCAAAATATTCTAGTCTTGACCATTATATTGAAGTAGAGATATGAATACTTCAGTAAACTTCTTTAATTATAGAATTATTGCACTGATGAAATGTGAGTTATGGCTTAAAAATTTAAGTTTCAAGGAATCATGGGAATCCTCTTTTGCATGTTCTTGTGGTATAGAGGTTAGCACATCTAGCTATAATGCATGGTTGAGGGCGCAGATGATTTTTCATGTTTCCTGCTCCAAAAAACCATAATAGTCTCATCAGTGATACCAGATTAATGGATGGTAATTTATCATCACCCCTAGTCAGAGTGCACTGGAGCTCCCTTATTTAGGCTGTGACATTTCTTTTATGTAACTGAATTTTTTTTTTTAAATCTGGAAAAAATTTAAGGAATCGATGCTAACTTCTGAATGCATTCTAGTCTTTCCTTGAGACATAAACCTTAGACAAAAATTGAAACTAAGGAAAGAAAAGCCCCCCACCACATGTCAGATGCTTATTTTTTAGGAAGTGCAATGAATTTATGAGAGCAGGTTTTTTTGAAATGTCGTCATATACTTCAAACACTAATGATTTCTAAACTAAAGACAGAATTTTTGGAATGATGTAACCAAATAGGGAGGATGATAATAGTCATCATAATAAGCTTTATTTTGTAGATTCAATGGAAAATGTTTTACCCTGTCGCATTTTACATGGCAGCTAGATTTACATCGACAAGAGATCGTGCTCAGAAAGTATTGGACCCTTCTTTATTTGTTTTTATACATGTACATGCTCCATTAAAATTTCTTCCTTATTGTTTTTAGCATTCTCCCTAGTCTTATTAACATTTTACCTTTTTCATTGGTACATTCCAGTTACATTCCATCTCTTTAACCATTTTACCTTTTCCATTGGTGTGCTTGAAAAAGAATGATCTTTGTTTCTTTCTTCCTTGAAGTAGTATATTATACTCTATATTCAGAGTTTAAATTCAGCTGTTTCTTAGTTTTTGAGTGAAATTTTGATTTCATCACGAACCCCAAATAAGGTGAGATGCAGTCTTTTATTTAATTAGTTAACTATTTATTAGTCCTTTAATAATTTATTAAATATTTATTTGCCTGTTTATATTTTATTCAGTTATATATTTTTTTTTACTTTAATTACTAAGTATTAGTTATTTTATTTGTTTGTTTTTGTTTAAGTTTTTTTCTAACGGAGCTCTATAGGGCTGTGATACTTCTAATTTTAGTCATTAAACTGTGGACATAGCAGTAGCAAAATTAGAATGAACCGACTAGCACAATTAATTCGAGAATTTAAGCAGCTGTATCCATTTCAATATTGCTTAAAGTCGGTAAACGAAAAGCATGTGGCCATACAGTTTATACTAGAATGCTGTAAGATGCCATGTACAATAACATGAAGACTGACAATTTAGACTCACCATCCGCAGTATTGAGAGGAGTGCCAGAAAATGACATTTTCCTTTACAGTCATCCACTTCCAACACCAATTATTTCATTACTGAACTACTCGTAGGCCCACCAGCAGCCGAGTGATAAGTCACTGAG